GGACGCTACAAGAACAGTGCTCGTAAATTTCAAAAATATGCAAACAGAGCCAACATAATAAATATAAGACAACAGAATTCAGTATCTCATCACTTGTAGTGCTTGGAGATTGTGAGACAGTCGCAGAACTATGTAGATGGCACTTGAATTCGCAAAACGGTAGTCATGTGTGTGTGTGTGTGTGTGTGTGTGTGTGTGTGTGTGTTCAGAGTATATTTAGGCAGCAAGCATTCATTGAATAAGTTTTCTTAAATTCAACCGACAATATTTGCCACGGAACACTTATTATTTTTCGAATAATTTTCTCCTCGGCACTATTATTTTGTTATTAATTTCCAGTGAAACGTTTGTTTGAACCTATACGCTTATTTTATATGTTGAAAACTTACGACTGGGACATGTATTTGGTACAAAAGAGAATATCCATAACAATATGGTGAATAAAATGTCCAAATTTCATATTTTTTTCTTTTTCGGTTTTTATTCATTTAAGTATTTTGATAGAGTCAGACATTAAGAAAATCTATGAGTTTTCCCTATCATTAACATGATTAACAATCATTAAGAAGTTCGATGAATTGCCGGCATCATAGCTAAAGATTCGGTTCGTTTCTCTAGGATCAAAACTCGCAATTGACGTTAGTCGGAGATTTTACGCCTAAGCCGTTGGCGCACGGCAGGGATGAATTTAAGGTGAATTTAAGCGGGTTTATTTTTGGATAAACGCTTTACCGAAGAGTATTGCATTATTAGCCGTAATAGTCTCTGTTTACAAACTCATACTTCGATATATACCCCTCCGTACAACCAAATGGTCAGCACCAAACTAGGCCATAAGTTCCTAGCTTTAATTGAAAAGCACTTTCCCACTAATAGCAAACTTAGCGACATCTTTAACAAAAACACCTTGAAATTGAGTTACAGCTGCACTGAAAATATAGAAAGAATCATAAAAAGACACAAAAAATCCTAGAAAAACACGCATACCAAAACAGTGATAAATCTCATAAACTAAAATTAGATAAAAATAACGAAAAATTATGTGATTGTAGAAACCCTAAAAACTGCCCGTTGGAAAATAAATGCCTCACAAAATCTGTGGTATACCAGTGCACTATCTCATCCATTGAGGGTCCTAACACTGATAGGATATATATAGGCTCAACAAAGAATAATTTTAAAATTAGATGGAGGCAACACAAGAGCTCCTTCAACAATATTCAAAATAGAAATCAGACATCTCTATCCCAATATTTCTGGCATCTAAAAGAAAAAATATTTAAAACACCAAAAGTAAAATGGAAAATAGTAAATAAAACAAGAACTTGTAAAACCTGGGACGACCCATGCCCTTTATGCCTACAGGAAAAACTACACATCATTAAATTTCTAAATAATGAAAAATTATTAAACCATAGGCAGGAGTTAACGGTTTTTTGCCGACATCAACAAACTTTTGCATTAAATAATTAGCATAAAAAAAATCCCATAGCTAAATAAAAGTCTTAAAAGCTTAGCCAAATCATTAAATAGAAAAAACCCTTTTTGTAGTCGTCAAAAAACAAAAAAAAACAAATTGAAATTCAGTGCAATACGATTTGTATATAAAACACCCACTTGAATAAACAAATAAATAAATAGATAGATAATCAGATGGACAATAATAAAAGACAATTCCCCATACACATAACGACTTGTAGGCGCGCCATAAAAATATCCCTCACTGGGAACCAACTAAGGGGTGACCGCAAACATTAGCCTTGAAATAGATACCCTACCAAACCTTAGCAAAACCTCTCAGATGATGAATCTATTGATAAGAATTAACTCTCTGACCACCTAACGAAGAAAAATAGTCTAGCCACTCCCACAATAACGAATTCTGTAAAGGACCATGCCTAAAAACACACGTAAACCGAGAGATAGCTTATTCCTAAAATTTCGCTTGAGAATGAAATTCAATTCAACCTCAATTCAACTTAATTTTAATAATTATTTGGATGGTTTCGGCTCTCGTTTTTGAAACATGAGAACTCTTATGTAGCGAAGGAATCATATTTTTAAACAAAATAATATTATTTTATATATATATATATATATATATATATATATATATAAGTGAACATTGAAGTCAACAGTCAGAGGCGACAGGCTGTTTCATGCTAGACGCAATAGTCAGGCTACGAGTATAGGTTTTTTCTCCACTATTTATATATATGGTTCAGTGGTGGATTGTGGGTAATCCATTCTGGCGGTTATTTTGGTGGTAGTGGCTTGTTCATTTATTTATTTATTCATTTGGGTTAATTTATTTTACTTGTTTTTATTTTCATTTTTATTTTCGATGTTTTATCAACGTAGTAAAAGGAATTGCTTACGTCGTTTATTTAGTAGCTTGTTCTGTTCTGGTAAGATAAAGCTATTTATTCGTCCAATTATTGCATTGATTGACATAGTCTTTTTTTATTTTGGTAGTTTTTATTATGTTTATTATTTTATTTATTTGGTTTCATTATTTATTTTTGCTTATTTAGGCTTATTCTTTATTAGTTCCACCGGTTATTATAGCGGGGGCGATTTGTTAATTTGTTCATTTATTTATTTACTTGGATTAATTTTTATTTGTTTTCTCTTATTTATTTATTTTTTTTTTTTTGTTTACTCTATTCGGTTTTCGATTTTTGAGTAACGTAGTTTTTTTTATCGTTATTATATCAGTTATAGCTATTTTTTCGTCTAATTTTGGATTGATTGTTATAGTCTATTCTAACGGTTATTTTGGCGGGTTTGTGTTGTTAATTTGTTTACTATTTATTTTATTTACTTATTTGGGTTGATAGTTTTTACTTGTTTTTTATGTATTTATTTTTTATTTATTCTATTTCGTCTATTATAATATATATATACATATATATATATATAATTATTTATTTAAAAAATATCGCTACATCTTTCCTATTTTCTATATATTTTTACACACACACACATGTTTTAAATATATATATATATATATATATATATATATATATATATATATATATATATATATTTTATTATAATTTTTACATATGGACAAAACAACTTACGACAAAGATGCATTTTTGTTTCGATGCGTATGCATCTCAACGGGTGGGAACCAAAACTGGTTATAACCGTAATTTGTTTTTGTCCGTATGTAAAAATTATAATAAATAATTATTGGTCTATTGAGCTCTTTTTAGAATTAATGCTATGAACGTTATTTGTACTATTTTTGATCTCATTACATTCGTATATATATATATATATATATATATATATATATATATATATATATATTGTATTTTGGTACCAAATTTTTTAAGTTGTTTTTAATCGAGGCGGATGTTTGCTTTCTTTTCAATATCTTACTTTGACAGTTTTTATCATGTCACATATTGTGACGTTACATTTTGCATTTGACACTTTAACATCGAATGTTCCATTACTTCCATGAGTGTGCTAATCTAATGTTTTTTTTATTTACATGTCAAACGACATTTACGATTTTATGCTTACCCACCGAAGATTACCAAAGTGACTGAAAAGACTTGAAGAAATAACATCTGCAAATAATTCTACAATCTTGAACCATCAGTTAAAAACCTTGTAAATAAAATAGATAAAAACTTCTAAAAAATATTTCCGTTGACTTAACCATATATATATATATATATATATATATATATATATATGCTGCATAAATAAAGACAGCGGCGAAAATAAGGCCCACCATCTGCTACTTTGCGATTTATCAGCATGTCTTTTGCTGTTGGTTTTTATGCAAATTCATATCGATACAAATTGCTTCTGTGATAAACATATTGCTGTCTCATGCCAATAGAATTTAGTGTCGACTTCACGAAAATTGTTTCTTGAAAAATTTATTGATGCTCAACCGATATCTTATGTTAAGTCAAATATTTGTCACATTTTTAAGATATTATTCAACAAAACGTTAACCTTTGTTATGGTATTTGACAAGAATCTCAACGTCAACTTTTGATTTTTCCCACTCCACAATTTATTTTCCCTTCCCTCACGTTTACTGAGTGGACGTCTTGATTTTACCTCTCGGCAGAATACAGCGGCCACTCTTATTTTTCTGTTGGAAGGACTGGTCCTACTAACATATTTTCCTTGTAGCTTGAATATTTGTTTGTTTGGTTGTTTTTTTGTGTTTTTTTTTTCGTTTTTGTGCTCATCCCCCCCCTTCTCATTTCATGACACATAATTTTATATATTTTTATAAAAAAAAAAACGAAAAAAAAATATAAGTAAAAATTGTAAATATCCATAAATTTTACATTATGCGGTTTTAGTAGATGTGGTATTTGGTGAATGTAGGATTGGGTGAAAAATGGTATGTTCTTGTGGTAAATGAGTAAATTGTAATGAATGAATTAGTCATGAATCAGATTAGCAAGGTTTAGGATAGTCAGCAGCAACCACACTTCCTCTTCGGCCTTGTGCCAAAATTGTAAAACTACAATAAATATACGCATTTGACGCAAGACTGTTTTATTACTGATGCCGCTGTTCATTGAAATTGAAGAATTTTCGTCATAAAGACTGGATTCATTTGAATAAGACGGGAAAATATTTAATTTTTAAAATGACGCTTATTGTTTATGACTATATATAGGAGGGGGGAAGCACGGTGAAGTAATGGATAACGGCTCGGATTGAGAGCCGAGTTCGAACTCCAGTCGAATCCATTACATACATACCCTTGTAAAAGGTATAAATCCTCTTCTTCTCCCCCAAGTAAATAGCAGGACAGACCGAGTTCTATAGCCTTGGATGGCAACTAGTCAAAAAGAAACTACTGCGGGAAAAAATCTGCCTCTTCAGTCAAATATCGAAAGATACATGATCGCCTCAGCGTGTATCACGCATGGCATATAACTGACTCCTTGACGAAGCGATCGCGGTGAGATTCGGAACGCCAGTGTTTTAACCAGAGATATCGAACTATAACATTAATCAAGTAAGTGAAAAATGAGAAAGGGAGGCAAAACACATAGATAGATAGATAGATAGATAGATAGATAGATAGATAGATAGATAGATAGATTACATTCATACCCTTGTGAAAGGTATGAATCCTCTTCTTCTCCCCAAAGTTATGGTTAAATAGCTGGATAGACCGAGTTCTATAGCCTTGGATGGCAACTGGTATACCGCAGAAAGAAATGGCAACCTACTGCGGGGAAAAATCTGCCTTGTCAGTCATGTATCACGCATTGCATAAAACTGACTGATATATATGAGGGGAAAGACTTGTCTACCTTTTATTTATTCTTTCTTCTTATGTCTCGAATATAGACTTTAGAGGAAAAACATAACGCTGTTGTAAATAAAATATTTGTTATTACAATTGTACATCATCCTTTTTAAAAGCTATGCTTAAACAACGTATACGGAATCTGTTGTAAATAAACCGGTGACGTAATCTACATTTTGAAACTCTTAAAATCTTACGCACGTCGTTCAAATATAGAGATATTTTCTTAAGTCTAGCTTAGTCTGACACATGGCTAAAGAGGGAACGAATGATTGTGTCGTTCCTGTATTCTAATAAGTAAAGCTAATCTGCCTTGTGATATGTCCCGGAAAGGGATATATTTGAACGAAGTAGCTAAGTAGTTTTGGCTACTATAACCAAGTAGAATATGGTAGCAGTAATCGACTGGTACGCGTCGTAGTCGCAGGTAAGAAGTGTAGATCAATGGCGTAGTCCAGTGGGCGTCGTTATAGACTTAGCTCTCAGACTAAGGCTCTGACTCTGTCGTACCTACACGCCCGTCTGTATTTATGACGGACACCAGCCAATCATATTCCAGTGAGGGGGAACACAGGTGTACGCATATTCCATTATATCATCTTGTAAATTAGTATTCAAAATCCTGACCACTGGCCTGGGTTCGAACAACGCCTGTTAAAAATGTGCATCTATATTCGCTAACAAATATTCTACGTAGAATTATGATTTTTGTCATTTCTTCTCAAGATCTATGTGACAATACCGGCAGCTGCAACAGCTATGGATTTAATTTGAACCCCCGTAAAGTTTTTTCCAGGGTAAAGAGTTCCATTTCCCCTAAAATTTGATCTGCTTACATTGGGATTAATGCACCTGCTCAGCGCTAAACTCTGCGGGACTAAATCTGGCGGGTGTCGACTTAGTGGTTTAGGATTTCATGTCCTTAATTACTTATCGTGATGTAGGGCGCTAGTGGTGTCCGTTCCTTAGATGACATTATACTGTTCAATTAAAGTAAGATTCCTTCTGTGCTATTTGTCTTCTTTTTTTCTCATGCCTCTCACAGGAGTTTGTGTCTTCTAAACCCCAGACCCAGGGACCTCTGAAGGTTGTAAGTCATATAAATAAACGCAGCGAGATAAGCTTCATCCTCTTGGGTGTTTGAGAGCTCGGGTTGCACGACTGCCGCTTGACCATTGACGGCAGTGGAGTTCATAACTCACAACTGTTCCAACATGTCTTGGGCATGTAAACATTTAGGAACCCCCGCGTTGCGGAGATGATTTTAGGAGAGTCGGCAAATGAGTAGGAATCTAGGAAATGGAATGGGAGTAGAAAGAGTGAAAGGAGCGATAATAGAAGCAAATAAGGAGAATGTGCGACGAAAGAAATTGTGATAGAGAGGGAATGAGAGAAAGGAAAGAACGGAAAGAACGGAAAGAAAGAAAGAAAGAAAGAAAGAAAGAAAGAAAGAGTGGAAATGTGTGTGTGAGAGAGAGAAATGACAGAAAGAAAACAGAGAGAGAGAGAGAGGAAATAAGGGATAACGAACACAAAGAAAATTGAGAGAGAGGAAATGAAAGAGAGGAACTAAAAGAAAGAAAGACGACAGAAATGAAATTAAGGATGGAAACCAACAAAAAGAAAAGCGAGTGAAAAAGCAAATGATAGAGAGAGGAACAAGTAGAAAGAAAAAGGATAGGAAAGAAATGACGAAAGAGAAACAAACAGAAAGAAAAACGAGGGAGAAGAAATGAGAGAGAGAGGGGAACAGAGAAGAAGAAAAATGAAAATAAGAAAAAAATATATAGAGAGAAAGAGAAAGAAGAGCGAAACCAAATGAAAAGCGGTAGAGAGGAAATGAGAGATGGGAAAGAAGAGAAAGAAGAGTGAGAGAGACAGAGTGAGAGAGACAGAGAGAAACAACAAGAAAGAAAAGCAATAACGTTGAAATAAGAGAGAGGAACAACAGAAAGAAAGATAGAGTGAAAATGAGAGATACGAACGAATAGAAACAAAGAGAGAAAAACGAGAGAGAGAGAGAGCAGCAACCAGAAAGAAAAGCGTTAGAGTTTAAATAAGAGAGTTATCGCAGCCTATTACGAAAATGGACGTTCAAACAGAAATGCATTTCACGCACTTCGCGATATTTTGGTCAACATAATCGACAAACCGAGAGTGCAATTGGAAACGATGCAACGTTGTTGTGGAGAGGTTCAATTCCAGCTGAACGGCGTAAACGAGCAGGCAATTGTGTTTTCACATCTGCCACCGACCCAGTTTGTTTGAATTTACGAACAATTTTTCCAATTGCACACTAACTTTAACGCGTTGTTTGATTGTGTATATATATATATATATATATATATATATATATATATATATATATATATATATATATATATATATATGGTTATGTATATGGGGAGATGTATTAAAGTGAGTGCATATGTAAATGTATTTTGAACTCAACACCCATTAATGAAAAAATCTGTTTCATTGCCTGACGATTGCGTATAAGCATAAGAAAACAGACTGTCGCCGCTAGGTATTGACTTCAATATCGACTTTTATATTTACCCTCTATTCCTGGTATTGAGCACTTTAAATCATAAACATAGCGTACTTTAAAATTACATTTTATCATATATATATTTTTATCATATATATATATATATATATATATATATATATTTATTTATTTTTTCTTGTATTCAAACAAGTGTTTTTTTCTGGGCACAGACTGTGTAGAAACTGTCAAAATGTTCTGTAATTCCGAACGGTATACTTTTAGCCATTATCAAGGATGATTCTATTTTTGCTTTTTAATTGGGTACATGGGTTTTGTGTATGTTTCTAGAGTTATAGGGATGTTATACACACACACACACACACACACACACACACAATATATATATATATATATATATATATATATATATATATATATATATTCAGTCAAAAATACATACATATATATATATATATATATATATATATATATATATATATATATATTCAGTCAACAAATTATTTCAATCTCGATATACAAAATTTGAATCGGAAATTTTGAAAATTATTAAAAATAAAAAAATTAAATAGACATAACCTGTTGGTTGAACTTAACAAAACTGATAATAACGTAATAAGAGAAATATCATCAAAAAATATCTTGAAAATCTGGGCCTGATTAAACACTTGTAAAAACAAAACCATTTGTTTTCAGGAATTATCTTTTAGAAGAAAACGATTAACATTTAAAAAAAATTCAAAGAAAAGATTTAAAGTTTTAGACCTTTCAAAAGGAGATTAAAAATATCGAACCTTTGGGAACCAAATATTTAAAATTTAAAGTCTTTTAAAGGAAAAGATTTCAAATTGAAAACTTCTGATTAGAAAAAAAAACAATTTTTAATCCTGTCAGAAGAAAAGATTAAAGTTTATGAACCCTCTTTTTATCTCATATTTAAAAAAAAAAAAAAAAAAAAAAACTAAGAAAAATCTAACAATAAAAAAATAAGAAGCTGGCAGAAATTTCAAGTCTGCAACCTTTACTCTCTAAGAAACTCCCTACACATACACGCACGCGCATGCGTCCTCAACATAGATACCCAAGTGATGTTGGAAAAGACACACCCAGGCAGTTCTATAATGACTTATCGATATCATTTCTGAAATGATACGTGCAGAGAAATACATAAATAAAATACAAAATCTTGATGGAAGAAAGATTTAATTACAGCATTCATTTCCCTCTGTTCATAGCATATGGAGCATCAAGATGTTCAAGAAATTTACTTCTAGTGAAGGGAAAAGTGTCTCTAGAAACTATCAGGAATTCTCTCAAAGAATTTGGGATTTCCAGTCTTTTTTTTTTTTTTTAAGAAAGTCCTAACCCATTGAGCCCTGACCACAGCTTTACCGGTGGCAGAGAAAAAATGGTGTCATGCCCAGCCATCGTTTGAACAGTGGTAGAGAAAAATGACTTAATGCCCAGCCACTGGTTGAACGGTGGGTAAACACTTGTAACTACTTTTATATCTACCGTGAAACATTACATACCAATTATTTGCGAATTTTAACTCAGAAGCTCAGACAGAAGGGTTAAAATACTTCAGGAACGCAGCACTTAAAGGGTTAATAAAGAAATTGTTATCTGCTTCCAGTCAGTAGAAGCCATTTTGTACATTTTTCTCTTGCTTTTGATTTGAGAACTCTTTTGCTTCCAGATTCATTTTTGTTCGACCACTGAATTTTTTTTTATTTTGGTGAATTTTATTCTGTGAATGGTAACCAATTGAATAGCCAACTTTCAGCTTCTGTGTGGTCATCATTAGTTGGCACATGCGTTACGCCCTGACATTGCCTCAGATAAATAATGAACCGTTCCGTTTTGATTGTGAGGAAAGATGAAAGAAACATATATCAGGGATGATATTTGGCGTTAGTAAGAAAAAGAAAGTATGCATAATAACAAGAAAGAAAGAACGAAAGAAAGGGGAAAATAGCGGAGGTGATAACCCTCTCGTGTGTTTAATGTCTGCTTCAGTGAAATAGAACTTATACAGATTTTCAATTTTAAATCTGTTTATGTGTACCCCCTTACTTCTTTAAATAATGACCTGTATTAATATCAGGTCATCCCATAAGTTCTGTCCGAATTTTAACTTTTTGTTAAAATGAACGAAATTTAAAGAGTATTTTATAATGTCTAATGGAGCTGAACATTATTTTTTATGTTTAGATGCATTTAAACTGATCAAATTTTATTTCAGAGAACAATAAAATTAGATTTTGTTTGATTAAAACCCTGCTAACAGTACCCAAGAATCATTTGAGACACATAATGCTTTATGAGTTCAAGAAAGGAAACTCAGCAGCCGAAGCGGCTAGAAACATTCACTCAGTTTATGAAGAGGAATGTGTGAATGAAAGAACTTGCAGAAGATGGTTTGCAAAATTCAGAGGTGGAGATTTCACCATTGAAGATGAAGATCGAACTGGATGTCTAGTTGAGTTTGATAAAAAGCTTCTTGAAGCAGCCCTTGAAGAAAATCCTGCTTTATCAGTTGAGGAATTGGAAGTGGTTCTCAGTTCAAACCATACAACTGTTCACCGTCATCTTCAACAACTTGGAAAAGTTCCTAAACTTGGAAAATGGGTGCCTCATGAATTGTCTGAAAACAACCTCAAATCCCGTGTTGACATCTGCTCTTCTCTCCATTCTCGCCAACTTGTTTCTCCTTTTTTGGATAGACTTGTGACTGGCGACGAAAATTGAATCCTTTATCGAAATGTTAAGCGTCGTAGACAGTGGCTTGGTAAAGGGGAAGGACCCCAGTCACTGCCAAGAAGGGAACTTCATGGGCAAAAGGTTCTTTTTTTAATCTGCTGGGATCGCCAAGGAATAATCCACTTTGAATTCTTACCACCTAATGCAACAATTAATGCTCAAATATACTGTCAGCAATTAGAGCGTTTGAACCAAACTTTGAGGAAAAAAGACCTGCTCTATTGAATCGAAAATAGATGATGTTTCATCAGGACAATGCGCGACCCCACACAGCAAGAATCACGTCACAAAAGATCGAAGAAAATTCTTCATCCACCTTATTCTCCCGATCTTGCTCCTTCTGACTACCATTTGTTTCGTAGCTTACAGAATCATTTGGAAGAAACAGCTTTTGTAACACAGGAAGAGGTTAAAACTGACTTTTGTGAGTTCTTCGAATCAAAGCCAAAAGAATTTTACAGTAATGGAATTTGTGAGTTTGTTAACAGATGGGAGGAAGTCATAGATAATCAGGGAAAATACATTGTTGATTGAATCTGTAATTAAATGTAACATTTGGTCACTTGTTTTCTTTATTCAAAATTCAGACAGAACTTATGGGATGACCTGATACTTATGATTGCTATTTCATTATTTTGTTAATGTTGTTAACCCCAAATATTTAATGATGAAACATGGGAATTTCCATAGGTATTCTACAGTTGTAGAACTCGGAAGAAGCTTATTCAATCATTAATTTAAAAATTTCCCAGAAAATTCAAATAGGAAGACCTTAAATTTTTCACGAGTAATGCTAGTTAGCTTTAATGAAATAACTAATCCATTTAGTTTCTTAAAAAAAAACAAAGCATTTATTTAATGAGCGACTCGTTTCTCCTTCTCTCGGTCTAACGTTTTCCACTGACAAGAAGAGGGAAAGGTTATATTGAATCAATTATTACGACTGAGGCTAAGAAATGTTTGTTCATTGTATCCTGCTAGGAAATTTTTCTCATCAGAATCTTACACATTTATTATTATTCGTCCATGCATTGAATATTGCTGTCACATCTGGTTTGGTGCTTTTGCTATGTATTTAAAGACTCTTGATAAAATCCAATGAACAATATTATTGGTCCTGACCTGGCATCTTGGCTTCAGTTACTTTCCCATCGCCGTAAATAAGTATTTTCAAATTAATTCTGATGACACGTTCCCCTATGGTACCTAGACTATGAATTTAAGCACAATACTAGATTTGAGGCAAGCTTTCATCATTTTACAGTTGAAATAGCAAGATATAACTATAAATTATATGCTAACAGTTCCTTCTCTCGCACTTCTCGTTTGTGGAACTCTGTTCCGTTTTCTTGCTTTCCAGTTAAATTTGATTTTCAAAAATTCAAATGCAATGTCAATCGTTATCTTCTGTCTTCTTAATTCCTGTTCTTTTATTGTTCTTTCTCATTTAAATTTTTGATTTTTGAGTCTTATTGCAATACTCGAGGTTAAATTTTTGATTTTTGAGTCTTATTGCAATACTCGAGGTTAAATTTTTGATTTTTGAGTCTTATTGCAATACTCGAGGTTAAATTTTTGATTTTTGAGTCTTATTGCAATACTCGAGGTTAAATTTTTGATTTTTGAGTCTTATTGCAATACTCGAGGTGAAATTATTAAACAAAAATATAAGATTCAGTTTTTAAAAGAAAGCTGGATCAAAACAACAAAAACAAGAATATAAATTCATTTAATTCATCGAATCATGGTATCATTTTACTTCAACGGTGAGGAATGTAGATATTAAATGTCTTGGTAAAATCGTCTCGATAGGGTATTATTGAGAATTGAGCTCGTTACCTAACTGAATGCTTTGCGAGACTAACTCGACCGAACAACGTTACTTTACGAGGCGCTTGATAATGAAGGAAATGCCTTGAAACCTTAATTTTTGGAGCTATTTATTGCAAAATGAAGTTTCAGTTACATGCTTAGAAAAGGATTTGATATTTTTACATTATTCGGACTATTGTCCTCATCTTTGTCGCCATATTTATCACAACGTTTCGGCCGTTGTACGCTCCGGCCTTCTTCAGGTGGTTGGAATTTCGAACTGAACCCTTTATTTCGCTCACCGGGGTAGACTGTTCTAGTTCCACGTTTGATGGATGTCAGTTATCAGTTATCTCCTGCTAATTTCCCTCTGAAAGATCTCCACTGCTTTAACCTGGTATTGAACTCACACTCATTTGGTTCTGTCACTGGATTTAACCAACGCCTTTATCCACTGTGCCATGTGTCCTTGAGGTATGAATTTCTGGGTATTATAAACCTAATGTCTTCAGCAACCATTTTTACCAGTGCTCATATTGCAATTTTTGATGTTATCAGAGGGAAATTAACAGGAGATAACTGACATCCATCAAACATGGCATGTGGAACTAGAACAGTCTACCCCAGTGAGCGAAATAAAGGGTTCAGTTCGAAATTCCAACTACCTGAAGAAGGCCGGAGCGTACAACGGCCGAAACGTTGTGATAAATATGGCGACAAAGATGAGGACGATAGTCCGAATAATGTAAATAATGTACATAATACCTCATCTCAGAAATATAGACAGACTTTGACATTTTTAAGATAACAAGACTCATAGTGTTATTGATAGAAAATATATTTCTACTTCCATTATGGTCACTACACTGAAAGGCAAGCAGATTCTTAACAGAAGACAGGCGCCGGATGGATTGAAAATCAACAAGAATTTTATGGACGTCATTTGTTACGAATAAACTTTTCTGTGCGGAACATTAAGTGCATCATACACAAAGGTTTAGGAAAACATTAGAAAATTAGTTGAAAAATTCTGCTTCTCATCAAAACGGATAAAACTTTCTTTCATTCTTAGCAAATCATTAAAGAGGAAAAAAAAATACGACTTTTTTCTTCTTTCTAACATTTTTCTCTGTCGGTCTGTCGGCCATGATACCGACCACCCAAGTATGCATGAGGAAGTTAATAAAGATGGGCACTTAACCTTTCTGGCGGGATTCTTCGATCTAGAAAGCAAATAGTGTTTTGAAATGTGGTTGTTTGGAAAAAAAAGAGACCTGTCAAGAATTCCAAAACAAAAGTTGGCACCAGTCTACAGTTGGGGGAAAAATAGGGTCAATTTCTGGAAACCTTTTGCGCGTGTGGAGAAAATTTCAATTAATTCGACCTTCAAGATTGTTCTTGTCAACTGAGTCGACAAAACTTGATCGAAAGATTTGGGGTCAAACCAAAAATTATTTAATTTGGCATTAGAACACATAAAGGATTTATTTCTAACGTCTCCCATTTCAACTTCACACGATCTTGGACTCTTTTTGCGTTAAGAGATTTGAAACAAAAATTCGATAGGAAAGAAGTTGATAGCAATGAACTGGATCGCAAAATATTGCATGATTTGTTTCTCAGGCGCCTTTCTGAGTGTTTACTTTTCCTTATGTACAAATGAGACGAAGTTAAGCGGTAACTGGTCATTATCAAATCACTGACCATTCGTAATTTTCAAGTAATAAGAGAGTAAAAAATATCAGAAAAAAATTATTTCTATCAAAATAGAAGTAATTACTGCTGCATTGATCGTTTTAAATATTGCGAATAAAAGACGATGTTTTCGGGTGTGGATTAAAAATGTATTTTTTGATGTTTGTTTTATTTTCTCTATGTTTCCTAAAAGATTCGGATTGTAACTTTTTTGGTTCAGAAAAGTTATAATCCAAACAGAGGAAAAGTAGGAAAGAGATGTGTCCCTTGTTCTACATGGAAAATGCTGATAGAATAGAATCTTTAAGAATTTTTTTTTTTTACATATTATCCGAGAATATTTGGTTTTCTCTCCAAGAAAAATTGATTATAAGATTTAAGCGAAAATATGTCAGCGTTTTGGTAAAAGAGAAAAATGCTTAATTCAATCAGTTTAGAAAATTACCATAAAAACAAACGTGGTCTGGATAAAAGGATTTGAAGTATTAAGAAAAACAAAAGAAAAAAAAAATGGTTCGCAACAGGTGAAGTTTTTAAGCGCAACTAATCAGCAATCACCTGATGGTGTTTTATCGAGACGAGGAATTTAATCGAAACACAGATTAGAGTTTATCATTCGGATGACTGCAGATTTTACTTTTTTATAGATTTTTTTTTTAAATATATATTAAGTCTTTTTTTAAAGACCCAAAATAAAATAATGATTTTGTATTTTGTTTTCAAAATATGAAAAAATTTAACTCACAACCTTTTTCAAAATTCAGAGTTCATGAAATTTATTCGTATAAGACGCAACCTAAATTTGCTAGGCTATGAATTGTAAAGAGGAAAAGGATGCATCCTTTTCCTTCGAAAACTATTTCCGTAACCCCCTAGCTGCTTCCGCAAATACGTACCGACCTGAGTAGCCTCATTATGGAATCGAAAACTTTTCAGGCGAATTAAATCCGTTTCTTCACAAATCAAATTGGTAAATCTGATGCCGATGTTATAAACTCGAAAATCACTGGAGTAGAAACATTTGTCATAAAACGGGTCACGTGAAGAGAACGAAAGGATTGCATTCCACAGGGGGTCGGGGACGGCGAGATCCCACTTCAAAGAAATAGGTTTCTCCCCTTCCGAAACATAGATTTTTGTGCCAAGTCGGCATCCCCCCACCCTTCTTCACTTCATGTCCTAATACGAATTTCAAGAGTTTTCACCTGCGTGAAATCAACAAAAGTTGTGTGCCATTGCTTTATCACAAATTGAACGATAGGTTGCGCTTCTCGGATTTCGAATACAAGAAAGAAAATTCGATATTTTGACGCTGAAATTGGCTGATGAATCCTCAGATGTCTGGCGAAGGAAATGATTTGCCTATCTCCACCATGCTAAAAGTTTGGTTTACAGTTTAAAAACAATTGTTACTATTATTATTACCCATTAATAAAACCAATAATTTCGTTGTTTAAAAATGGCTTCAGATTTGAGGTGTTTTTCTTTATCCATCCCTAAAATAATCGTGCAAGGTGGCTTATACTTATCTTCAAGAACATCATCATCGCGCCGGTGTTTTTTTACAGGGCACGTCATTACCGTAACCCTGTGCCAGACTATGATTGATGAAATATCGATTTCGTTCTGATGAAACACACGCACGGATACACGTACACGCACGTGCACACACAAAACACACGCAAGAGCATTGCAAACCATGAAGAGTCAAAACACTAGCGCCAGCCGTAGATCAGAACTTTTCACCCCTCCATTTATAAAAATCTACTCAGCTGGTTGACACAATAGGTAAAGAGGCAGTGAAGCTGTAACAGCTAGGGTACGTGGATAAGAATGAACATTGTTTGACTGATATTTGGATCCATTAAGATCGCAATCTTTATTTTCAAGGTTGTAAATGCTTTAAGGTTTACTTAGGCCGGAAATACGTGAATTTCGACATGTCATGACATGCGAAAACCAGTCACCCGCAGATGATGCAAGAACCGGACGACTGGTGACTGACAAGAATGGTAAATAGGAAGCAAAAGGTGAACGTTACATCAAATTACATTGCTATTCAATAACTCTACGACGAAGACGGTATTTCGTAGAGGTTTGTTGTCATCAACCAACAAGGCTACTTCTCTTGGAATCATAGCATTAGTTACTGTGCCTCACTGGATAAGAGATTATTGCTATTGGACTGTCTATGATAGGGACTGCCTGATCAAGACGAATTAAATTTTCAACTCTTTCAAATAGACAATTGATTGTCATTGTGTGCAGGTAACATCCTCAGGCGTACTGATCCAGCCGATCAACAGTAGGGTGTTATGCAAGCTTTTTTTTTTACAGTAATTGATCCCAGTAAAAGGCCCAGGATAGAGGGTTACTAAATGAGGCTATTGCATCAATGTAAGAGGAGGAGATAAGAAAAGGAGGTGGTAAGAAGTGTAGGTTATAAGGATATAGAGGCAAGATAATAGTTGACCCGAGACTTGAAGCGGTTCAGATTGTAGCCACAGGAGTCAGTCTCACAATTTTACTTGATTTTTAGTCGTCCGAATAGAGCTTCGTTCTTATTAATGGAATTGAAAGAGAATGGAGATTATTTCTTCCCGTGTAGCTGGCGTGGCGGGCTTTATTTGTGAAGGACTGAACTGGTGGAATTAATAAATTTAGTTCGTCTGAACATTTACCATGGAAATAGCGATAGTGTAACGAGAGTCTTGCCACGTTTCGTCAATTGAAAAGGGTTGTAGGACTGAAAATAATTCATCCACAAGGAGGTGTAGATGCTTTTGAACTCTGTCAAAACTAGAAAGTAAAGATTGATGATTGTTTTGCAATGGTGCGTCATGTGTTCTGTTAGTGTTTGAAACGATCAGTGTTGAACAAAAAAAAAAAAAAAAACAGGTGCGACAAACACAAACCTTGATGCAGCTTATTTACACGACTTTGATGTTCACTATTTTTCCGCTATTGGTGGTTACTTCCAACAAAATTAAGCAGTCTCCCATTAGATGCGGCTGACATGAAATTAGCTCCACGAACACTCGGCTGGCTCCCAGGTATTTCATTCTTCCCCGTGTTCACCAGGTTTAGACCCCGTGGAGTATTACAGGACACGATACACAGCTCACTAAATTCCTTACCGCCACATACAACAAAAATAAATCTCTTATGGAAATCCTTGGAACTTGCGTAGATAAATATATGCAATGACGCAGCACTTTCTGCAGTTCATACCATGTCGCGTAACCGACAGTATTCAGATAGGTGTATCTTTTTTAACACTTCAGTTTATATGTACCTCTACACAAATATGCACACACAAAGGTCTTTCCCTCTCTCTCATTCTATCTATCCACACGCGCGCACACACACACACACACACACACACACACATATATATGGCGTATATTAATAACTGTACATATTACCTACGTAGTTAATATATATAGTTATTGATATATAGCTTATAGCTCTGTTACTACATTCACCACATTGTTTTGATTACACCATAAATTAAATATTTATTTGTAAATTTGTATATAAACGTAATCGCACGCATGTATTGTTGCTCATATCTCTTTATTTAATTCATATTTTATCTCTCTCTCTCTCTCTCTATATATATATATATATATATATATATAGAGAGAGAGAGAGAAAAACACGGCAGACAGGAAAGATTTAATTAATTATATCTTCCTTGTTTGACAAATTTTTAAATGATCTTTAAAAAAGGCTGCCGCCCACATATACATTCACACACACACACACACACACACACATATATATATATATATATATATATATATATATATATATATTTATATATATATATATATATATATATATATATATATATATATATAGAGAGAGAGAGAGAGAGAGAGAGAGGTTTCCTAAAAGACTCTAAGGTGTTTAAAAAGTTTAACATCCTTTTTTTATTTATTAATTCAGGTATTTTATAATGGAGGTTTTGGAAAGTAAACTTGTCAAAATGGCCGATTGAAAAATGAACTTAAGTATTGAAATCTGTACCAAAACCAAGAATCAATAATTCAAACTCAACGTCCATATCTTTTTGCCATAACGGTGTGACCGATTCTCCAGGTTTTGAGAGTAAAGTTTCAGTAATTGATCTTCCACGAAAAAACGAATTAGTATTTGGGTGGGTAATGGAGATTATGGAAGACGCTCCGAGCAGAGTTGGTCTCGTCAGGTTTAGATCTCTCGAACGTTACTCCAACAAATCTTTAAATGTATCGACCTATTTCCTTACAAGATGGAGGAACAGCATATACAACAAGCGCCGAGGTCTTCCTATTTCATCTTTCCCCCCCAAAAAAAAAAGATTTAAGAGGAAGTTAATACTCTTCAACAACTGAAGAATACCATTCAGAAAGGCATCAGATCACTAGACCCTGAAACAATGAAGGCAGTGATAAAAAAAAGACTTAGAAAGGATAAGGTCGTGACAAATTGAAAATGGACGCAACTTAAAAGATATAATCTTACTCAACTAGTGCAAATTTATTTCCCGTGTCTACTTCATATAATATTATGGCATTGTGTATTAAAGTTAGAAAATAAAGGAGTTATTAAATTTTTTAAATCCCGTGGTGACTTTTTTCGAACACACTTCATATATATATATATATATATATATATATATATATATATATATATATATATATATATATATATATATATATATATATATATATATATATTAGTGGTAAATATACACAAACATATACAATCATATATCTAAAATTTATAAATATATATACATACATACATACATATTTGTATAAAAATAATTCCAAGAGGATAGAATCCAGGTAGAACTCAATGTCCAGGACAGAGTAAGGATATAATAAAAAGGATTAAACACTAATATTCCATGGTTATAATTTATTCCATTGGAATCGTAAATACGATAGGTCTGATGAATTGGATCGTATTTACGATTCCAATGGAATAAATTATGACCATGGTACATTAGTGTTTAAGCCTTTTTATTATTATTATTATTATTATTATATATATATATATATATATATATATATATATATATACGATTGGCCCCCATTATATATATATATATATATATATATATATATATATATATATATATATATATATATATATATATATATATATATATATATATATATATTCATGCACGTTTCATTAAATAATATAGACAAGTGTTTTCTATTTTATCTAAATTGTTTTTTTGTAACGTCTGATAAGTTTAATAACATTATCGTTGAACGAAGAAAGAAATTCAAAATATTGATCCATATTTATTTAATACAATCTAAGCTTTTGGCTTACATAAATCATTATCAAAGATGTCAATTACAACATATTAAGCAATATACGGACACGACAGTGATGATAGTCTGTCATTGTTTACATAGATGATTTCTAAGCAACGATAAACACGTGCATATAAGACGCTAGAAGAGAAAATCGCACCGCATCTCATGACGTCACACATGAACACACGAGAGTGTATTGCAGAAGAATGAAATATGGAAAGCCGATGGTATAAACCAATGGCTCCTGTTACCAATTATAGACATTTAAGAATATTTGTAGAGATGCCATAATGAATGAAAAGATGCTGCCTAAATACATATATATATATATATATATATATATATATATATATATATATATATATATATATATATATATATATAGCCTAGCTGCCGCTTCCAGGCGGTCTTAAGGCTATCTCCCCGTGTAGGGTTTTTTATAATTCGGCCTTTTACCTTCCGCGTCCTATGTACATACAATAATTTAGAAATAATAAAATTATTTTATCTTTATTCGATATCTTAATTCGGCATAATCTTTCTTCGTATACGCAACAAATCTCCGTAGTTTACATTTATTTTGTGCGCAATTTTTATTTTCTTTTAAAATCACCAATCTTTATGATCCCCTCGTATAAAGTCATTCTTAAAAGACAAAAGGGAAACCAAACTATGTAATATTTTGAATACGTCACAATACGCATCCTAGAAAAAGAAAGAATAAGAGAAACGTACCGAGCACC